CTCCCATAATTAACACGCTCCATGATAGGTGCAAAACAGTTAGTTAGAAGTCTCTTTTATTTATTTATTTTTAAATAGTATCTATTACATTTTCCAACATTTAAAACAAAACAAAACACAAAACATATGTTTACACGTAACAGCTTTTCCATATCAGTACACATATTTTTGGTAATAATCCTGTTTACAAGAAATTCTATCCCTATATGACTATCCTAAGTTATATCCTTGTTTAAATACTCTCTATATATATTCTACTTTTACCCTTTACGACTCAAGTTTTACATTTACTCTCAAGCCAGGAGTACTATCTATTCCAAATTTGATAATACTCAGTGTCTTCCCTCTCCTTCATTTCCATAGATAGTCTATCCATTTCTACACATTTGTAGATTTTCTTTCATATAATCGGATCTGGGGGAGATATCTGTTTGTTTCCAATTCTGTGCTAGTACAGTTCTACTTGCAGTTAATATGTATAATATTATGCATTGTAATTTTTTCTCCATTTTCCCATCAAAAATTCCCAGGAGAAACAGCTTCTCACTTCTTCCCATAATTAATACACTCCATGATAAGTGCAAAACAGTTAGTTAGAACGTTCTTTAGCTCCAGTTCCACCTGATGTTGACTCCATGGATTGTTCACGGGGGTCTCCACAGCCAGTCTTAAAGGCCTTGTGGTTGCCTTCTTCTACACGTTGAAGTCCATGTGACTTAAAGAATAGCAGTTAGACTTATATACCGCTTCATAGGGCTTTCAGCCCTCTCTAAGCGGTTTACAGAGTCAGCATATTGCCCCCAACAATCCGGGTCTGAAGCCAAGAGGGAAATCCTGGTTTAGAGCATGCAGGGCTCTCAAACAGAATAACAGAATTGGCAGGAACATCGGGGGGGAGGGGTCTTCTAGTCCAACCCCCTCCTCAAGCAGGAAACCCTAGACCAGGGTTGGCAAACCTTTTCGGCACTGAGTGCCAAAACAGAAGTGTGCATGTGCATCCTGGAAACTGGACAAGCAGCCACCCGATGCACATGTGCACGCCGGGAAAATGATCTTCCGGTTTCCAGCACACACATATGCACCGGCCACATGGCCTTCCAGTTTGTGGCAAGCATGCGCATGCAAAGATCAGCTGGCCAGTGTGCATGTGCGCACCAGAAACCGAAAGATAATCTCCCCGGCGTGTGCATCAGTGGTGGTTTCCGGGAGGTATGGCCCGGTAGGGGTGTACTGGTGGTAGCTGGGAGAAGTGGCCACCATACCGGAACAGTGGCTCATTTGGCCCGCCCACCTGTCTAATGTTCCTTACCAGTTTTTGAGGCAAACGGGCTGATTGCGCATGTGCGCACAGCATGCGGGGCCTGCGCAGCCTCCGCTAAGCAACTGAGTGTCACAGGGTGGTGCCATGTGCATGCATGCAGAGTGCAAGTGCCCAACGAGGATGCCCATCCCCATGCGCTGTGTACCGGCTACGACAGGATCCAGAACCCATTACTGATGTCCCTGCGCACCGGGTGGCTGCTCTTCTGTTTTTTGGTGCTCTCGTGTGCATGAAGACCAGCTGGCTGGCGCGCCGGAACTCAGAGTGGGCGACAGCTCATGGGCCTGGAGAGATGGCTCTGCGTGCCACTTCCACCATGTGTGTCACAGGCTCACCATCACGGCCCTAGACCATTTCAAACCAATTGTTGTCCAATCTCTTCTTTAAAAACCTCCAGTGTTGGAGCACCCACAACTTCTGGAGGCAAGTCGTTCCATTTATTACTGAATTTTTGAAGTATAAGACGCACCAAGGTTTTGAAGAGGCAATTTTAAAAAAGCAGGTAGGTAGATAAGAGGGAGGGGAGAGAGAGAGAGAGAGAGAGAGAGAGAGAGAGAGAGAGAGAGAGAGAGAGAGAGATTCAGTAGATAGATAGGGAGAGAGAGAGTAGGGAGAGAGGGAGGGAGGGAGAGAGGGAGAGGGAGAGAGAGAGAAAGAGAGAAATACAGTAGGTAGGTAGGGAGAGAGTAGGTAGGTAGATGTTTCCAGGTGCATTTATCCATGTGCTGGAGAAGGAAATCGCAGACAATCTGCAGTCCCTAAGACTTTGTTTCTGCTGGCCCAGCACTTGATCAATCTAATTCTCATCAATCAAAGAGTTTTCCAAAAGGAAAAAAAAAAAGTTTTTGCACTCTGCAAACCTCCCCAAAATGGTAATTATTCTTAACTGCCAGGAAATGTTAGATGTCCCTGCTCTATTCCCCACAACCCAGAAACCTCTCAGCTCACCTCAACCTTGCAGGGTGGAGGAGACCGAGAGATTACAAGCGATCTTAGGCGATTCAGCAATCTGGGTTGTAAATAGGGATTTGAATGTTGCATTCGGGCGCTCTTAAGCCCTGTTGCTCACTGCATTGCACAGGCCTCGGTGACCCAATTAAACACCGAGATTTCTTTACAAGTTGCAGGTGGGTAGTGCAGAGCCAGGGACAAGTTGGACTCGCCCTGCAAGGATATTTCTGTCACTTCTGAAGCACGAATCCTGGGAGTTTCAGAGAAGACGGAGGCTCTTTGAGGTCACCACTGGACACCCCAGGTGTCAAGGTGGCAGGTCTAAAGTCATCCACCAACAAAGAGCTCTTAGCTTTATCCCAATCTTTACATAACGTTTGAGGGAGGCGGTGATGGTTTATGGAATTCTGAGCCTTTTGCTAGCAGAGTGGCCACCCAGTTTCAGTCATAAGGACTAGAAACTTCCTTCTGCAAGTGAAAACAGTGCACCGCAGGAGGACATACCAAAAGCATGTGAGGCAAGCTGAGGGAGTAACATGCTTATTTTCTTCTTTTCCTTCCTCCCCCCTCCTTCTGTTCTTTCCTCTCTTCCCTTTTTTCCTTCCTTCCGCGCTCCCTTCTCTTCTTCCTTGCTTTTTCCTTCTGTTCTTTTTTCCTCCCTCCCTTTTCCTTCTTCCTCCCTCTTTTTTCCTCCCTCCCTCCTTCCTTCTGTTCTTTCCTCCCTTCTTTTTCCTCCCTCCCTTTTCTTCCTTCCTTTCTCCCTTCTGTCTCTTCTTCCCTTCTTTCTCCTTCCTTCCTCCCTCCCTCCTTCTGTTCTTTTCTCCCTTCTTTTTCTTCCCTCAACCCCCTCCTTTTCTTCCTCCCTCCCTTCTTTTCTTCCTCCCTCCCTCCTTCTGTTCTTTCCACCCTCCCCTTCCTTCCATCCTTCCGCTCTCCCTTCTTTTCTTCCTTGCTCTTTCCTTCTGTTCTTTTTTCCCTTCTTTTTCCTCCCTCCCTTTTTTCCTTCTTCCTCCCTTTTTTCCTTCCTCCCTCCTTCCTTCTTTTTCTTCCCTCCCTTTTCTTCCTTCCTTTCTCCCTTCTGTCTGTTCTTCCCTTCTCTCTTTTTTCTTCCTCCCCCCCTCAGTTCCTTCCTTCCATTCTTCTTTCTTTCTTTCTTTCTTTCTTTTACTTTTTCTTTTGCCCCCCCTCCGCAATCATCCATTTTGCATCTCTGTCTGTGTGTGTGTGTGTCTCATCCACTGCTTCCTGTCTTTAACGCTGGGACTTAGATGTGGATTCAGTTGTGCTGGCTGCATGTGGCCTCCTCCGTTGTGTCCTCACAAGCCCTCTCCTGCCTTCAGTTTAGCTCTCTGGGATTAGATCTTGAACCCTTTTCACGCAGCACCTGCCAGCCTTGTGTGTCAAATAATTCCTTGGAGGAAAGTCTTATTCTAAGCTTTTGGCTCTCTGCCCCATACAACAGGGGCAGCATTTACAAGCCCTGCTCCTTATTAGCCATGTGGGAGCCCTGTCATTACTCTGAGGGTGATAACAGCGAAGCAGCAGCACCAAAGATAATATCCACCAAAGATAATATCCTTGAGGAGTATTCAATGAATAGTAAGCCGTGGCGTTCTGCCCTTTCACCATAGAAAAACCCCAGTATGTTTACCGGGAGAATTAAGAGTGAAAACAAGGAGGAGAGAATCAGGAATGTGATCCCAGCTGGAGGAGTCGTGATCTACGCAGGGTTCCCGCACAAAGAGAATTTCGAGTTTCAGCTTTAATACCCTCCCATAAACATCTTTCATTTGCTCCAGGGAGAGTTTTGGGTGTGTAGATTTAGGTTCAAGGTCTCATAGGTGCTTCCCCCCCNATTCTGGGAGTTGAAATCCACGGGACTTAAAGTCCCCCAAGGTTGAGAAACACTGCTCTAAAGCGAGAGTTTGAGTAAAAAGGGCCCTGATCATTGATGCATTTGAAGCCTTCCTTTTCCCATTCTGTGGGCGTTTGGCCGAGCGGTCAAGATCTGTGTTCATGCTAGAGGCCCAATCATGGACGAAGAAGCTGCTGCTCAAAGGACTTCCCTCTCTGTGCATCTTAATGTAGATGGCTGAACCTGGGGTGCTGCTCTTGAAAAGTGGTACCAATCGGAGTGGTCAGTACCCTCGGCAGGTTGTTGATTTGGCTCAGTTTGAGGAAGTGTGTCCTCCCAGTTTGGCCAAATGCAGCAAGTTACAAGTGATCCGTTGCGTCTTTCATTTTTCCCACTTCCTAATTGACAGATGTCCTCTGCTTCCCTTTCATCTTCCTTCAAAACGCGCATATTTCACAAAAGCTTTTCTTGATGGTGGCAATTTCCCCCCACTTCCTGTTCTTTGCCCTCTCCACACACACCCCTCCAGTTCCCCCATCCACATACTATGATTTCCCTCCTAAAGTTGATGTCTGCCGGGGGGCTTATATTCTTTCCCCTCCAGCTACTTTTGATTTACTTTAAATAGTTGGGTATCTAGAAAGGTCAGCTACTCTCTGAGTACAGCTTCAGCGTTGTTTTCAAGGAGTCGGATATTAAGGAGAATTGATTTGGAAAGGATTTGGAACTGGAATTTGGGGGGAAAAACCATACCATATCCTGTTAAATGGGCCTACAAATATTCCATAGTTTAGCAATATATCTTGTGGTTTTTATGTATTCGTTTTTTTTTCTTTAACAGCCTATTTTGCTCTATTTTATTTGTTTTTCTAGGAATCTAGAGAAAGAAATTTCCTTTGATTTTGGTCCAAATGGAGAATTTTCTTACATGTATGGACAGTGCTATGAACTCGCTACTAATGAGTAGGTCCTATTTCTTTATATTGGATTGTTCAGTCACATTTGCATCTCTTTTGATTATATATTTCCCTCAAGCAATGCAGAATGTAAGTAAGTTTTTATCAGCTACAGTTCTTCTGTAGTATAGTAAATACTTATTCATATGGGATTATTGATTCAGTGCTCCTGCAGATCAAAGTTGTATTTTGATGAAAACGAGATGCCCAATCTACACCCAGGCATATATACACCAAATTTGTTTCCTAGCTCTCAACAATTCTGGAAATGTTTGCAGGATGCAGCCCACCAAAACATTATGACAGCAATTCACAACCTCGATTTTCTTGGCTTTTCTTGGCAGCTGTTTTACGTAAATATTACCAGTGGCCAACTCCTGCTCTTTGCCTAATTCTGAAATGGAGGAAGAAGAGAGTCCCAGAATTCCCTTTACTTAATGGACTAATAGCTAAAGGTGTTTGTGCTCATAGAAGGGAATTTGCTTAGTGGGAGAGAGAAGGAAATCATCATACAAGTCACGACATACATTTCTTTTGTGCTTTTTCTTTTTTTCCAGATATATTTATCGCCTCTGCCCCTTTAACAGAGTGTCTCAGAAACCAAAGCATGGCGGCTCAGAGACGAGCCTTGGGTAAGAAACTTTGATGCTGCTGTGTACACACTTTGAGGACTGAGATCATGGCATCCTTGCTGCTCATAGTAACCGGAGGCCATTTGCTTCCCGAACTAAACTAGAGCCGAGTTGGCGCAGTGGTTAGGGTGCAGTACTGCAGGCTACTTCAGCTGACTGCTAGTTCGGCNTTAGCAGGTTCATGGGCTTAAAATATCAACACGAATTCTATCCTGGGGGCGAACGGGTGAGTGAGTCTAAGAACATTAGAACACCAAACTGGTTTTTAATTATCCTCTCTTAGTCCTGGTGTTCTCTATTGTTTCTTGCTATCTCGATGTATCTTAACTTGTATATTCCATTTGAATTTTCCATCAAGATGAAATGGAAATGGACTCTGGAGGGATGGGTGCTATTTTGTCATTCAACTCACATCTTTTTCTCCCCAGGTCTCAAGTGGGGGAAGGTAAAGAATGGAAGCCAGAAATAAATTTCAAGCTGTCTTCTATTGATTGCATACATAATTATTGCAGTAATCACACCACTCCTGAGCTCTTAGACTGGGGGGGTTGTTTCAGGGAGCAGATGGGAGACCTCGGCACGCTTAGTTTAGCTGACCCTGGTGACAGACACTTCGGTTTTAGCTATTGGGGGGGTGTCTTAATTTGGGAGATTCTTCCTCCTCCCAAGAAACATAATACAAGATATATTGGATCCTCTGAATGCAGCCATTCTGGCTGTGCTTTTAACTTCAAAGCTCTTTTCCACTTTAGCTTGAGAACAATTATAAACAATTGTGTATGTTTAATCTGAATAGAAATTTGTTCCAATTTAAACAGAGATCAACAGCCCTTTCTGGTTAATTTTTAAAAGTTTTCTTTACCCATAAAACTGCCTGTTGTATGATTTCTAGCAAAAATTCCACTGTGAGAGATGACTGCTTAGGTACGTTTCTATAGTGAAATGTCACTGGAGAAGGATGGATCCTGTACGTCAACTTTCTGTCATTTATATGCATCTTAAATATAGTTGCTTCCAGCATAGGCTTGCAGATTTCTTGCACAAATCATCCTTTCCTCATCGTACCCTTGCAGATATTTATGTTTGCTGCCCAGAGTATGTCCACTCAGAAATATACGGTCTCTTTAAGTCAAGAGATACAGATTGCTTTGTCTGCATCAAAGGAAGGGGTGTGTTTGTGTGTGTGTGTTTGTGTGTGTTTGTGTGTTTGTGTTTGTGTCCGTCCAACTAGTGCTCTCCATTGCTGAATCTTAGTTGGCCTAGATCTGTGAAGCACTTGGGGGGTATGGACTTTCAGTTCCTGCAGGAGCAGTTTCTGTTTCTATAATTTCCATTCCCAATTTAATTTTAAAAAATCATAGGAAAGCCACTGCTACTCCCATTAGGAGCAGGCGTTCATACCTAAAGTCTCCTCCCCTGCACAGAGAAACGTAACATGTGAATAACAGGCTAGAATTCTTGTCCCCGAAGTTCTATTTAAATGCCAAAGATAAAACGGTCGAAGGAGTTAAGGGGGAGCAATTTGCCGTCTGAGGTGGTGCAAGTAAGATGCTGGATCATGACCTTGGGGAGAAAATGGCTCGCCATGGCAGGTGCAGAGCAAGAGCCTTAATTGAAGCCCTTTTAAAATTGACTGTAGAGGGGGTGATTTCCATCTAGCCATAATTTAGCTGTAGCTGCAAGCACAACCTGCCCCTCCTCGCCCCCTGGGAGGTCTCCGGTTTGGCCCATTAGGAAAGCTTTTAAGGGGACAGGAGGGGCAGGGGATCCGTTAGCTAAGCACCCAGTTAATGGAAGCTGTGAGAAGCAGCTGAGACCTGTTTTGTTGGTGTCACTTTTCAAAACATTTTTTCCCCTTTGGGGAATGAAAGACACCCTTCCCTATCCTCCTCCTGGAATTAGGATCCCAGGAACTCACTTTTTGCCGTGGCACGACAAAACCGCGCTCGTCAAAATAGCGGTGATAAAACCGCGTCACTAAAGCTGCGATGTCATCACCGCCGCGACAACAGCGCGGCGACAGAAGGGCGCTTTAAAACAGCGCGG